AGACCGGCTAAGAATCTGAACACAAGCATCTGGGTGGTGTTCTGAGCAAAGGCACAGCCAAAATTAAAGGCAAGAAGAACCAAAATGGAGTAGTTCAACATCACTCTTCTGCCGTACATCTCAGAAAGCGGAGCAAGAACCATTGGCCCAATAGCCCAAGCAAGTACAAAGATAGATACGAGAAGAGCCTTGGTGAAGGCGCTCTCGATGTGGAAATCCTCCGCTATAAACGAAACCCCAAGAGAAATCACAGATGAAGAATAAGGGGAGACAAAGGTGTATGAAGAAACAACCACCGTTGCTATCCACTTCCTTCGCGCCGCCCAGTTTCGCGGGTGTTCGGGATCATCTGGTCCATCCCAGGTAACTAATTCGGAATCCATAGAGCTGAAATCGGTGCTTCCTCTTCCAATAACATCATCCATGTATTCTTCCCCGCCTTCCCTCTCAAATAATTTCTCCGAGTCGGTATCCTCGGTGTTTACTATCTCGCTAGCTTGTCGTTGTAGCTCAATGATCATCGAAGATCTGGTTTTAATTCGTTTTATCCATTTTTCAGCTTTGGTCAAGCGAGAATAGTCGGTGTTCAAACTATTTGAAGCCAGTGTGGAGGTCACGGAGCTATACCGGGAGAGCGTTGAAGGCGGTGTATTTACCTCGAAGCTATACCGCTCTTTATCTGAGGCGTGTAATTCTGTTATGTGGCTGTTTGTCATATCTTTCAGTTTCTAACTTGACAAATATATTTATATCTTATGGCACGGATGAATACCTAGGCTTATATACATGTCTTTGAATCTGTCACCGTAGCTAGTTTATTTTGATAAAATTTGGCGACAGCCACAATAGTTCAGAAAATTTAATAAAATACTAGAGTGATGGTTCCAATTATGAGCTCACTTCCGGGTTCTGTCTCCGCCGCTAGCGGAAGAAAGGATCAGTACCATAGTGTGATCTCTGTCAGCACGCATGTGCTCTTTACTTATACTTCACAGTAACTACCTTGCCTCGGAAGAAAGGATAAATACCATGTTTCTCCGAGCAATAATAACCTTCAAGGTTAAGGAACAAATGTGTTTAATAAACTTACGTCATGATTAATAGCTCTCGTAAAAGTTTAAAGTCAGGGCTATGCATAAATAGTTGTGTTTTTTTTGTTTTAGTCATTTAGTTCCCGGGCAAACACGGAAAAACTCACGCAACACTTAATCCGCAGCCAAGCTCACGCCAAGAACTTGGATTTTGGTCGCCATACCCCTTATCTATTATGAACTGTGGCACCAGCACATTTGCGGTTACCATTGGTAGTAAATTGCACGTTGCAATACCGAAGATGCATTTCTTCGGTTCACTGACACGTTTTTATATGCCAAATATCGAATAGCACATAGTTGAGCGGATTCGTATACCAGGGCTCTAATGATATCACCTTAGGCCGTTCAGTCTCTGCTGGCCTCCTTTCAATAGAAAACATATAACAAAGGATGCGGCTACTTGACATGGATAGGTGGTCTAGGATAAGAGACGATCCATTAAGTAGCTACAGCAAGGAACAATCGGTGATACCAATCTCCTGGCAGAGGTATAGCGTGCACTGCGGGTTACATCCTTAGTGTAGAGTGACCCGGTGGTCAACGCATCTGCGGAGAGTGTGTGGACTGATGGTAGATCGGGTTTAATTTCCATTCACTTTAACTCCAAGGGCTTTCTCGTTTTGGGCTTGCAAGCGCTTTAAATTATTTTCGCGTCTCCTGGCAATATCCCTCTCGAACCTTCTATTCGCCCACAATCTCAACCTCTCTCCATACTTGATAACAAAGATTGGAAACGGGATACCCAACCCCAATCCGAGAAAGGCACACATGGTGTTCCCACGGCCGTAGCCCAACTTTGTGTACATTTCGTTGGCAAACAACGGAAATCCAAACCCAAAAAGAGATCTGAATAAGGAGGTGGCGCTAAGCGACGAAGCAGCGAAAAGCGGATTCATGTGAATCATATAACTTTGAATGGTTTGGAACACGGCAATGAGACCAAACGCAAAAATCCATAAGCCAATTGACGGCATGATCCAATGAAGATGCTTTTCAGCCGACCATCCGTACCATAAAAGTCCAACAGGAATAATCACACCGGCGCAAACCAACATGGGCAACCTGAACTCTGGTTTCGCAACCCCACCGTTTTGGGCCACCAAACGCTTGTATGTCTTGTCGTTTATCCAGGTCCAAAAGATAATTCCCAGAAAATATCCCAACGTCATCGGAAGGTACAATAACCCTGAAATGCCTTTGCTGAACCCGTATACCTCACCCCAGACAGTTGGAATGGTCACAATCATCAAGTACAGGAATCCGTACACAAAGGCCATAAACAAGCCGAGGCCAAAGACCATCGGGTGGAAGAGCAACAACTTTACAGGGCGGGTGAAGTTTACGTAGAATCGACCGGCCACGGTCTCCCCATCGGCTATTTCATAGATGCACTTCAAATTAGGATTGGCATGCTCCTTCCGTAACCGAGCCGCCTTTCGCTTTAATAAGGTAGGAGGGTACGTCTCTTCGTATAAGAAAAACCCCACAATGGCCACCACCCCATTCAAGATACAGCAGACGTAGAACAACCACCGCCAGTTCAACTTCTGCACGATAAACCCGGTAATGATTGGGGCTAACGAAGGGCCCAATGTGGGTCCCAATGAGTACAATCCCATGGCTGGAGTTCTTTCGTTATCATTGAAGCAATCGCCTAACACGCCACCACCCACACATAAGGGGGTACTCCCGCCAAGACCGGCTAAGAATCTGAACACAAGCATCTGGGTGGTGTTCTGAGCAAAGGCACAGCCAAAATTAAAGGCAAGAAGAACCAAAATGGAGTAGTTGAGTAAAATCTTTCGACCATACATTTCCGAGAGGGGACCCAAGAATAAAGGGCCCACTGCCCATGCCAAGACAAAGATAGAGACGAGAAGGGCCTTCACAAAGCCGCTCAGTACATGGAACTCCTCGGCGATATATGATGCTCCGAGAGAAATGACAGAGGAAGAGTATGGCGAAACTAAGGTGTATGAGGAGACAATTATCGTTGCTCGCCATTTTCTTTGCTTTGACCAGTTTCTTGGGTGGGCCGGATCGTCCGGACCGTCCCATGTAACCAATTCGGGGTCCAAGGATGTAAACTCGGTGCCCCCATTTCTAACCGGTAGAGGGTCTTCTGTATCTTGATCCTCCCGTTCTTGGTCAAAGGATTGGCTCTCTTCGTCTAGGCCTTCAGCGCGAGAGACGGCCCTGCTGGCTTGTTGTTGCAATTCATTGATGATCGAGGATCTAGTGTGAATTCTTCTAATACTGATTTCGTTTTCGTTCAACCCGGTGTAGATGGCATTTATATTTCTGGGGGTCAAGGATGCAGTAGATGAAATGGAATTAATCCGAGAGGTTGTGACTGAGGGGAGGGTATCATGGCACGGCTCCTTCTCTGAAGAGGCTATGGAGTGTGTCTCGCGTGACATAACAGGATAGATGCACAGCGACGTTATTTGAGCGGTCTCCTAAGCTATACTGAACTAAAGGAAGTAGTATATGTAATTCCTCAATAAGGGATTCAATAATAATTGGTTGAAGTACGAAATCTATAGGTTCTGTGAGAGGTATTCAGTAGAAGTAGCGGGCTGGAACCTTATATATGGTTCTCTGTGGAGAAATAATTTCAGTGACATTCATTATTACTCATTCATCCTGATTAAAAATCCCTCATTAACGTATGCAATACTTTCGATGGACAAAAACAGAGATATACCCGTTGGTAGGCGTAGCGCAGAAGCACGTAAACTTTTTTCCAGAGTCAACGTGCGGGGTTAATGTACGAATAGGTTATAAGAAAAAGTAAGGTTTTCTGGCTTGCGGGATTCTCCTGATTGAGGGCTAAACCCGGAACTAACAGTCGAATTATGTTCATAGCACAGTAAAGGGAGTTATTGGATATATATTGTAGTCCTCTAACGATTTCTATCCGTCTGAGCCATTCTAATATAGCACTGGTGCAAAAATTCAATCATAAGTCCGCAAGGCGCATGAGACGGAAGAGCGCATCCGATAAATGACACTTTCGGCGGAACTGTCAGTACAGGAATAAATGTAGGTCACACACGAACGGAGTTAAAGGCAATGACCCTTTATGTGCAGTTCCCCGATATTAAGTCATGTGATTTCGTTACATTTTCCTAGTGCCATGCCGGTCCAGTCACCTCAGCCTTTATGAGATACTCTTTACTCAGTCATATTCCTTGTTATATTTTTTTTTTTAAAAAAAAGCCTAGATTGGTTTAGGACGGTTGCTAGATATGCACAGGGGTCATCCGCGTGTCACACGAATCTTTAGCCTCTTTGTTGCTTCTCTTCGTTCTGAGCTTGCAAGCGCTTTAAGTTTTTCTGCTGTCTTTCGGCGATATCCTTCTCAAACCGTTTGTTCGCCCACAACCTCAACCTCTCACCATAGGTCACAACAAACACCGGAAACGGGATTCCCAAGGCTAACGCGAGAAACGCACACAAAGTGTTGCCCCACCCATAATCCAACTTTGCGTACATTTGGGTGGCAAACAACGGAAACCCAAACCCAGCGAGCGATCTGAACAACGAGGCCGCACTCACGGAAGATGCGGCAAACTGAGGGTTCATGTGAACCAAGTAGTTCTGGATGCTTAGCATCACTGCCACGAGGCCAAACGCAAACATACCAGTCCCCACCGACGGCATCATCCAGTGGAGCTTCTTCTGAGCCGACCAGCCGTACCATAAGAGCCCCACCGGAATGATGGCCCCACTGTACAACAACATTGGTAGCCTGAATTCGGGCTTGGCAACGCCTCCATTATTTGCCACGAGTTTTTTGTACACTCGGTCACACATCCAGGTCCAGAACAAAACCCCAGTCAAGTATCCGATGGCCATCGGAACGAAAAGCAATCCCGCAATCCCTAAGTTGAACCCGTAAACGGTAATCCAGAGGGCTGGTACCGTGACAATCATCAAGTACATGAACCCGTAGACAAACGCCATAAAAGACCCAAGCCCGAAAACCATGGGGTGCAAAAAGAGCAATTTTATTGGGCGCGTAAGGTTGATATAGAACCTCCCCGCGACAGTCTCACCGTCGGCAATCTCGTAGATACACTTCAAATTCGGGTTATTATGCTGCTTTCTGAGCCTTGCTGCTTTCCATTTCAACAAGGTCGGGGCGTAGGTTTCTTCGTAAAAAATCAAGCCAAATATCGCCACCACCCCATTTAGCATACAGCAGACGTAGAAGAGCCAGCGCCAGTTAGTGTTCTCCACGATGAAGCCAGCAAAGATCGGAGCCAACGAAGGGCCGAGCACCGGTCCAAGAGAGAAAATACCCATCGCCACGTTTCTATCGTTGTTGTCGAAGCAATCGCCTAACACTCCGGCACCAAGACATAAGGGGGTACCTCCACCAAGTCCTGCGAAGAATCTAAAGACAAGCATCTGGGCCGTGTTTTGAGAAAAGGCACAGCCAAAATTGAAGGCCAAGAGGAAAAGGATGGAATAGTTCAACATGACCTTTCTGCCGTACATTTCTGAAAGAGGGCCCACGAACAAGGGGCCTACTGCCCAGGCAAGGACAGAAATCGACACTATGAGAGCCTTCATATAGGTTCGTTCAATGTGAAACTCGTGGGCAATGGTGTCCACACCGAGTGAAATAACCGTGGAGGAATATGGCGAAACAAGCGTGTAGAGTGAAACGAGAACGGTGACCTTCCACTTTCTCCACAGAGGCCAGTTTCTGGGATGCTCGGGGTCATCGGGACCGTCCCAGGTGACCAACTCAGGGTCTAAGGAGGCAAACTCAGTCCCGTTGTTTTTAATAGGGAGCCCCTCTTCGTCATCTTCCGCGTCGTCAGCACATACCTGTTTCTCCTCATCCGAGAGCTCTGTTCTGGACACCATTCTGCTGGCTCTTTCCAGTAGCGTGTCGATGATCGATGACCTGGTTTGGATCCTCTTTCTGTTGATTGCCTCGTCCGCCAATCCCGGATATATGTCACGGGCATTTCTAGAGACGCCTGACAGGATTGAAGTGATGGAGTTTCGAGAAGAGATGGAGTTACTGTTGGATTGGTACGGTTTTTCGTCTATGGAGACTGATCTGGGTGAACTGTCGTTTGGTTGGTGCATCATTTTGGAGGATGGGTCCAGTTAGGGTGCAGACATGTAATGGCAAGAGAAATCGGCAAAAAAGGTAGTTAATATATCGTTGATTTTCAGGCCCACATTGTGGATCTCGTCCCTTTTGCTTACTAATAAATGTGTATGGACAGATATTATGCTCTGGCTTAGGGTCCACACCCTGGAGAGCAATTTCGAGTCATGTACGGCCATAAGTCTCTTTGTGTGAGTGGGTGTCAAATATGCACATGCTTGTCGACGGTTTTCGGCGGTATACGATGAATGTAGCATACTCCCGGGAAGGGAGAGCTCCTATTTGCTTGTTTTGGTCACGGCACCAAAATCTGAGCCCCATCACTTCGGCTTTCCGCGGAGGAAATTTCCCACAAAAACTTTATTTATAGTCAACCGCGGGGTAAACGGCGGGATACTTACAGACCTATAGTGCCTCTTAGTGATTCCTTGAATGCGCTTAGTCTGCTATATCAGAACATGATAAAAATGGCTACTGAACTTCTGTGTTGTCTGAATGACGAGGTAGCGATACTGGTGCAGTTTAGGGCTGAGTGTACATGCCCGTGCGGATGGGAACTGGGCTTTTGCCGTAAGAAAAAATGGTCAGAGTTCTTAGAGAGGGCTTAGTGATTAGAGCAACAGATGTTTGATCGGAACAACAGATGCTTGATCAGAACAACAGATGCTCGATTGGTTCTACGGCCATGGGGCTCTAGTTTTAAGTGAGTGAGTCTCACTATATATCAGACTTGTGTGCGCACGCCGGAAAAGAGTGGCCTCCGGGTGGGCTGACTCATATGTCTGAATACGGGGCAAGGCACAGCAAAACAACGGGTGCTCTAAAGGGTTCTCTTCATCACGTAATGAGGTCATGGGGCATGTGTTTAGGGTAAGAGCCCAATTATAGTGGCTGGCCCGGTAGTGAGATTAAATCATAACAAAAATTCCTGTCCTTGTATGGTTTACATGAAAGTTTAAACGATATATAACGTATGTAAAAGTTTAGCCTGTCGTGCACATTGTGCTCTGAAGTCGTTCAACAATCCCCGGTAACTCCTCAATACCTAATGGAAGCCCGTCCATTCCGGGCTGGTCATCCTGGTTTTTTTCCTGGCAAAGATTTTGTTCCTCAGATATATTCTATCAAATCCAAGTGTCTCTTCCACCTAAGCTTTAAGAGTTCTATACGCGTAAGCCCAAATACAGTGCTGCTGATCCGGGCTAGATTTGTTTATCGTGCTTCAATCTCAATATTGTATAAAGGCGGTTTATTTACGCATTGTTTATTATATAAATCATAATACCAAAGGCATGACATCCAATCGCAGGGGCAATACAGACGATCTAAAATCATTTTTCTTGCGTTTCATTCTTCGCTTGCAATCTCTTTAAGTTCTTCTCTCTTCTCTTGGCAATATCGCGCTCCATATTCTTATTTGCCCATAATCTCAATCTCTCTCCGTACATGATCACAAACACCGGGAACGGAATTCCCAATCCCAAGGCGAGGAAGCCACACAACGTATTACCCCAGCCGTATCCTAACTTGGCGTACATCTGGTTGGCAAATAATGGAAACCCAAAGCCAAAGCAGGACCTGAACAACGAGGCTGCCCCAATAGAGGAAGCGGCAAAGAGTGGACTCATGTCGATTAAGTAGTTCTGAATGGTCTGGAACACCGCCACAAGACCAAACCCAAAAATAGCCGTTCCGATCGAGGGCATGATCCAATGAAGATGCTTCTCAGCGGACCAGCCATACCAGAATAAACCCACCGGAATGAGAATACCCGTGAAGCATAGCATTGGTAAACGGTATTCAGGTTTAGCCACTCCTCCGTTCTTCTCCACTAGCTTCTCATAGCAAACCTCACACGACCAGGTCCAGAAGACGATACCGAGAACGTAACCAATCCCCATTGGAAGGAACAACAACCCTGCAATGGCTTTATCGAAACCGTACACCTCTGTCCAGATGGTTGGAATCGTCACAATCATCAAATACATAAAGCCATAGACAAAAGCCATGAAGGAACCAAGCCCGAAGACCATGGGATGGAACAACAACAACTTCACAGGACGAGTGAGATTGACATAGAACCGACCAGCCACAGTCTCACCGTCCGCAATTTCATAAATGCACTTCAAGTTAGGGTTGTTGTGTAGCTTTCTGAGTCTCGCTGCTTTCTGCTTCAAAAGGGTTGGAGGGTAGGTCTCCTCAAAGAAGAGAGTTCCGGTAATGGCCACCACCCCGTTCAAAATGCAGCAAACATAGAAAGACCAGCGCCAGTCACAGTTTTGCACGATGAACCCGGTGACGATGGGAGCCACGGCTGGGCCAAGAGTCGGCCCGGTAGCATAGAGCCCCATAGCAAAGTTTCTCTCTTTGTTATCGAAGCAATCCCCAAGCACCCCAGCCCCGACAGACAATGGGGTACAGCCACCAAGCCCTGCCAAAAATCTAAACACAAGCATCTGGGCCGTGTTTTGCGAGAAGGCACACCCAAAGTTGAAGGCTAAAAGAAAGTAGATTGACGAGTTTAACATGACCTTTCTACCATAAAGTTCGGACATTGGTGCCACAAAGACAGGGCCGATGACCCACGCAAGCACGAAAATGGAAACAAGAAGAGCCTTCATGTACGTTCGGTTAATTCCAAACTCCTCGGCGATCATGGAGCCGCCGAGCGAAATGACAGACGAGGAATAGGGGGAAACGAAGGTGTATAACGAGACAATGATCGTGGAGGTCCATTTTCTGGCTGGCGACCAGTTTCTGGGGTATTCGGGGTCATCGGGGCCGTCCCAGGTGACTAATTCTGGATCCAAGGAAGCAAACTCCGTTCCGTAGTCTTTGAGCGGAAGGACATCATCTTCCTGGTCTTTGTCGTCCGCAGATTTCCCCAAGGGGTCCTGGTTCTCTTCGTCATCGGCAACTTCGACCCTGGACGCCGTACGACTGGCTCGTCTTTGTAAGGTGTCGATGATAGACGATCTGGTCTGGATCCGCTTAAAGTTGATTTCCTCTTCGTTCAACCCAGGATATGCATCCACCGCTGCCCTGGAAACCACAGAGTTTATCGACGATACAGATCCTCGGCGACGGCTGGAGGCTGCGCCATGCTTCCCTTCAAGGGTGGAAAGGGTGTTGGAAGTGAAAGAGGGGAGTGATGCTAGACTGGTATCAGAAGGTTGTGACATTGGCCCTAGGTATGAAAGTGTTCCAAGGATTGTGTTACTATATAGATAGAAGTTTAGTTGATGGTAGGATGATCGGCTGTTATATCAAAGAGGGATACCGGTTGTATGCTGTGGGAATACAAGGCCGCGCAGCTAGATAAATACACTCCACCCCGCTGTGTATACCATGCAGTGAATGCTGTTTTCAATCATAACTCCGCAATGGGATGTGGTTAATTCCCAGCAAAAACTGAATTTAGTGCGGGTTTTCGGGGCTAAGCACAAAGAAAGTAAGTTAGTTTCCACCCAATTCCGACACGGCTTAGAACATACGTTTCGCGCGTCAAGAAAAAGCACCTGCGGCTAATCGTTTAGCTGGATCTAAAATTAGTCACGTTTTGACGGCCACATATCCGACTCATAGTCGCAAGAGGTGGCGTCTCTGCCCTGGAGGTAGCGTCATAGAGAACCAAAACTGAGGCTTTTAAATTTGCATCTCAAAAAGATCATTTGTCGATAGTATCACGTATAGTACCGACCCATAATTGCACGCGCTAAAGGCTCTACTTGCAGGTTGTAATATATCGTTGGATAAACTGCACTCTCAGATATAAAAGCTCTTTGGTCTCTATCACGAACACCCGCTGAGGGAATTAAGCAGCAAACTCTCTGAGCCGTGACTTGGCAATCCCTGGTACATGTTTTCGGAAAAATGCAGGTAAGAGCTCAAACGATTGGATTTCGGATATCAATTATCCGATGCATCACACTTAAATTAAGGATGCAGCTTGAGGGGTCGGAAGAGCCGGTTGGGGTACTGGTGCCCCCACTCCCAGAGGTGGAAGAATGAAAGTGCTACCATTGCTGTTGAATGAAAAATAGTGGTTAAAATAGACTATATACATGTATATGAAATTCAACACCATTCCATGTTTCAAGAATAAAATTGTTTATATGGGTATTATATAACCTTCGGCATGACTAAACGCAGCAGTATACTATTACATGGGGACAGGGCATATCAATAGCATATCAATAGTATTTCATAATATATAACTATTTGACCGACAAGTTCAAACTACTATCAGCCTAACCACTCATAATTCCCTGATATATGCGCTGCAGTATAAATATTGAGCGTAAACTAGATTCACAGAGTAGATAATATGCAGTGCCACTTTTAATGGCTTAGTAAAATAGCATATTTCACTATTTCCTTAAGCGGAAAAATCACTCTTGCTAAGATATTCATGATCTAGCTTCCGGCTACGGTTCTGTTACGTGCACACTTCTCGAGTTTGCGCAATTTGGAGGTAGCTATAATCTAACATATACAATGAACCTTCAACTAAAATCTGTAAACTTTGGTTAACATAACTTCTAACAACCCCAAAACAAGCATGGACTGCTGACCCGGTGCTACCCTGGTGACTACAACACATCAACCGGGATGTCGATGTAGGACAGATTATTCCCGTCAAACACGGCCTTGACCCGTACGCAGTACAACCGCGATATCAAACACGACTGGAACGACGGCACAATAGAATCCTTGACGGAGCTGACCAAGTCAAGGGTGAACTGGACCTTGCGACGCCACGTTTTTTTGGTCATGGAGTCGTCGAGACAGGCACTGATGGAGTGCGTTAGGCCGCTTTGTGCTGGTAATGAGATAATCGCCCCGGAAACGTGTCTTTCCCACTTTCCAGAGGAGTAGTTATTGATCCCAAAGATCGGAATCTCGTCCACCGCGTGGGTCAAGTCAATAATTGAGTCCACATCCTCGAGCAAGGTCTTTGGGATGTGCGACGCAGTGTCCAAGCCCTCGACCGCCTGGTACGCGGTCAACTTTTCCTTATACTCGGCAAACCGAACCTTCAACTTTTTGTTGAAGTCATTAACCTCGATAGGCGGCGTGGAGGCGCCGTTGGAAGCGTTCACGTGGATGTCTGGGAGGAAGAAGTCGGGGCTGAGCTTGACCGGGATTGGTCTCTCAGACTTCACGGTGATTGCCAACAAAGACACCTGGAAGCTGACCAACCGTGGGGGCTTCTCATTGGACGACGTCGGTGTGGAGGTTCCCAGAGAACTGCCAGCACCGCTCGTTGGCTGGAACTCCAAATCAATCAGGAATTTGTAGTCACTGAACAACCGTAGTTTTTCCTTAAAACGCTTGTGGATTTCCGAAGACACATTGTTTTTGGAGATGAGCGGGGCCACCATGTAGGGCACGGGCGGAATCTTGTCCGTATAGTGCTTCTTATTATACTCACCTGCCATTTTATTAAACGTGAGCTTGATCAAGCCCTTCTTGCTGCTGAGGAACTTTTTCATCTCAAACGTGGCAAGCGACGTGATCAACGAGTCGTCGTCCAAGTACGCGGAATAGTAGTCCTCAAACTCCTCCTCGTAGAGGTTCAAGTTACGCGAGCTGTAGGCGGACAACTCCGGCGACATGACCCGCGAGCTGCCTGGCGTCTCGATGGTGAAGATGTTGGACCCGGAGGGGGTGCTGTACATCTGCGAGGCTTTTAAACCGTCCAAAACGTGTGGCTCGTCCTTACCGTCCCTGAGCCTCAGCCTCTCCATCTTCTTCTTCTCGTGCTCTAGCTTCCCGAGCAACCTTTCGATAGAAATCTGCAAGTTTTTCAACTGCTTCTTCGAATTGGACTCGATCTTGATGAGGTTGGTCAAGTATTCTTCGTAATCGAGATTGGTCTGGGAGCTCTGGTAGGCCATGTTGGGGATAAAGCGGAGGTGGTAGTTGGTGGCAGCGGAGATGATGAAGTGGCGGTGCATGTCCTTGTAGTTGAGCATGTCCTCGATATTGAGCTTGCCGTCGTTCTTTTTCCCAATGAAGCGTGCCTCGATGGTGTACTGGATGGAGGAGGAGGATAAGGCGTAATCACGGGTCAAGAGCGGACTGCCTCGCTTGTCGAGGTACGCGTAGCCCAAGGCCTTGTTGAGCACTAACCCGCTGACATCAAGGTCCTTGTTTGCCTGGGCTACCAAGGACTTATCCAAGCCCAAGGATGGAGGGAGGTAGTAGTGCTGGAGCTGATCAATATGCGGACACGTGTTGTCGAGCAAGCTCTGGGGAAACTTGAAGGTGAAAAACTTCTTGTACTTGGTGTTAGGCTTTAAGATACGGTTGTCCGGAAGTCCGAGGTAGATTGAGTGATCAGTGGAGTCCTTGGAAAAGTGCTCATACTCGATCCCAAGCGAGTTGATGATCGTGTCGTACGACCAGCACGCGCTCAAGTCGAACATTCTCAAAAACTTCTTGACAAACTTGACCGGTCTGCTCAGCGAGGTAATCACCTCCGTGCCCTCGAGGCTCACAGTGAACATCTCAAACGGAATCGGCTTCGTGGATGTGTTGTGGATGATGATGTAGCCGTAGACAAAATCTGCATTGGTGTACTCCTTGAGCTTGTTCTCGAGGTTCGGATCGTTACCCGCGCTGGGGCTTGCGGTTTGCGGCTTGGGGATCTGCTTCGTCACAAAGATTTGCACGTCGATGGGTGAAAAGGTGACACGTTTCAAGGAGTCTACGCTGTCGATGACAGAGTCAAACGTAGATTGGGTGTTGGGGTCGGCTGCTGGGGTTGTGGGGTCTGAGAGGCCACCAAGGGCCAGAACGTGGGCTCTGGAGGTGGTTGGGGTGAGTTGGGGCGAAAAGGGCTGGTTGTGGATGTCAGTCGTGGTGATTCGGGCATTGGAACTGCCCACCGTAGGGCCCAACATTGGCGCGGAAGGCGGCCCGACCACGGGATAGTCTGGCGGGGCGTCGGTGATCGAGTGGTTATCCTGCTCATCTGGGTCCTGGACCGAGCTGTGGTTACTGTCGAGTTCGTCGTTGACGTCGTGGTTGATGTTCTGGAGATGTCTGCGAAGGATCGACTGGTACATCTGGAATGATGGAAGCACATCCCAATACTCGTTAGCGCTATATCCCGGCGGGATCTTCAGGTCAGGTGAGTTTTCATCGAGCGTAAGCTGTTCGATCTTTTCTTCGACATGGGTTGCCTCATCGCGGTTGTACTCTGGGACCGTAGGCGCACCAGAGTCTTCCTGCGAGTGTGTGGAGCGGTTATCCATGGTGTAGCAGATATCAGTAGGCGTAGAATCTAAGCTGGAGCGTGAATATGGAATAAATAGCACGGGGTAGAAATGTATAGGGCGGGATGTGGGGACGAAATTTCACCTCCTGTTTTCTAGAGGTTTTTTTTCCCCTGCACTTTAGCCTCTGGCGCGGCCTCCCCGATGCGGCGAACATGCATACGCGAGAGTCCGCCACACTAAGGGTGATGGAGTGTAAAAAGAGGTACGGAGAAGATGAACTAGGGGTGCGATTACGGATCAAAAATCCCGAGGGATGTGTCAATTGTGCGGAAAGGTGTGGCTGTGGGTAGAATGTGTTGAGAATGAAACTTCGTATGGATGGAATGCAAGGGATACGTGACGGCTGCAAATCTTTCCGGGGGCTCTGTCGAAGGGTGGATTGGCACTAGTTATAATTGTTTAAAGGTTTGCACTATCAGGAAGTAGAAAAGGATTCGGTATTGGAAATTTTGAACAGGAATGACCTTTGTAGTTGGACAACCAGTCACTAAAAAGAGCTTAGGAAAGGGACGCAGCAAGGGTATAATACTGCTGGCTAGGTAAAATTTCGGTGCTACGAACAAAGGGACATATAGAACTTGCTGAGGATATCTATACGGAAATTTTCTCAAGGAATGGTTTCGTGGTCTAGTTGGTTATGGCACCTGCTTAACACGCAGTACGTCCCCAGTTCGATCCTGGGCGAAATCATGCTACCTTTTTATCTTTGGTATTTTTCATTATTTGAAGTAGGTTGTAGAGAAATACCCTTTTATTGCTTTTATTTGTAGCCCACCGGAAAATTATTCTGATATAATTCCTAGTTTTATCAAGCCTGAGGTGCTTTTCTGGTATGCCATGCTTTTATGGACCAAATCTCTGAAAATCTTTCCTGCGCCCCACTATGGTTTTGTTTCTTAGTCATAACATTAAAATCCATGCTTAACATACCCCTTTTACGTATGTGAAATACCTTCAGATATCTCGAATTATGCACTGAAATATGCCGCTAAACCGCACCAATCCCCCACACAGTTTAGACCTGAAGCCCTCTGCACAAAAATCAATACATCACCCTTTTTTTCATCATTTTGCCTATTACCAGTCAACTCTCTTTGAACTCCTCAGAGACAAACTCCTGGATAACCGTTTTATAAACCACTTTACGCTTCCGCCGTAACCAGCCTAGCTACATACAGGACTCACGTGACCCACCCTCGCCCAATCACGAAATTGTAAAAGTTGGCTAGTAATCGCGAAAATTCCACTAACGAAAAGGCATATATCAACGTACAAACCGTTAGAGCTCCATAGACCACACCCCACAAACCACAAGATGACTGTTTTCGGCTTAAGAGGTCATGAATCCCGTTGTTTCAACAACTTCCAGAAGTTGATGGAATGTCGCTCCAACATTGACTACAAGGGCCCATCGCACTGTTTGCCGCAAGAGGCCGAGTACGACGAGTGTCTTCACCGCCGTCACGAAAAGAGAAAGAATCGCAGAGTGCGTCAGCAGGTTAGAAAGATGGACGGTGCTGGTGAAGTCCACACCGTTGCTAGACAGGTCGGTTTAGGCTTAGTTGACAAGGACTATACCTATGAAGACTTTAAGAAGGACGGCGGGAAGTGGCCAATGTGGCTTACTTCCACCGGTGTCAAGGAGCCAAAGCCAGTTGGCAAGGAGGCGCCATGGTGGCAGTACACCCTTGGCTTGAAGAAGGCCACCAAGCCAGAAGACAAATAGTCCACACCCCGAAGCTTACTTCACCCCCACATCATCACAGTTGCGCTGGTAGTTAGAGAGTGGCAGATCTCTGTTACCAGTGGCTTATGCCTTTCTACATTACATGAGCGAGTTGTCTCGCGTCTATTTATCACCATTTTCCTTTATTTATTAATACACAAAGTTACGAAGGGCTTGTAGAATGACCTAAGACGGGCTATTTTCCTAGCAGAAGCCTGTAGTAGAGGTTTAGAGGGGTGGGCTTGATCCGTGGCAAGCTTCGGAACAGGCTCCTTGGAACAGGTTTCCTTTTGGGCATTTCAACAATAAGCAACCATGAAAATAAATATTCAGTAAGCAAATCGATAGAACATCCACCTATCCCATATCCTATTAGGAGCTCTTCTGATATGGTGCCATTCAAAACGGAAACCATTCGATGCAACTCATTTATTTTCATCAGCTGCCCAAATTTAACGTAATGCAATCTATTCTATTCTCAATGCAGTCTACCCCACGTACCCAAGCATCCCTCTAACAGACTCCCTGACCTCGTAAAACAATGTCCCGGGGAACCCGTCAACTATGAGATTTCCATCGTTGACCTTGCGGATAATCACCTCGTCATTGACCACCAACGTCCCTTCGCCCTTGAACTCGGCCCTGTGGTTGGCGGCACCCAACCTCTTTTTCAACTCCGAGAGCCGGATGTCGCCTACGGCCAACGGCTGCGTTTGTATAATCGACGTAGAAGGCGCTGACAACGGCCGCAATACGAGTTCCGTGTTGTCGTTCACCTTGGCCTCCGGGTCGTAGTCGTCGTCGTCGTCATCGTCGTCGTTCATCTCGGCCTTGCGGTCCTCTGCCAACGTGTCGCGCTCGACAACCGCAACCTCGCCAATCACGTGGGAGATGGAGTATCCGCCGGTGATGTTCTGCCACTTCAACAACTTCACGAGCTCGTCGTCCAAACGGATCTCGAACGAATTATTGGCTCCACCAATCTCCAACGCCTCGTTTACCGCCACGCACAACACATCGATGCCATTCTTGGCAAAGTTTGCGGACTTGGAGAAGAAGTTGTACACCACTGCCTGGTTGCGCGGTTCGGTGACGTCAGCCAAAAGCACTACCTTCTTGGGCTTCAACAACGGCAAAATCATCGCCATCGACCGCAAGTCCACGAGCCCTGCGAGGTCCACAAACGCCAACCCGCACCGCGCGCCGAGCGACTGTGTGCCATACACCACACGTCTGGGGTTGTGTAATGAGTCCAACTCATTCACCTTGAATTCCTTCTTCTCCTTCTCCAACACTTCCGCGTCGTTCCACTTGCGCTTTTGGCCGGGTTTGACGTCCTTCGGCACGAACTTGCGCCGGTCAAACTTCTTCTCCTCAACCTTCTGGTAGTCTGCGTGCCGAATGGTCTCGCCGTAGTCGTCGTAGCGAGGCCGTTTCTGGAGGAAGGGGAACATTCTGTGTTTTCCCTTGGCGGCACGCACGTCCATGTCGACAAGCCCCTCATCCGTGGGGGCCACCACCTCTTTGATGTCTTCCTCCTCGGATGACTCATCTGACGATTCGTCCAAGATGTTGGTGTTGTCCGAGCTGAGCAACGACTTGTTCTTTTTGTCAATGTTTTTGGCGGCGGCCTTTTCGCGCCGGCGACCGGCAACGATGGATTTGAACTCTTGAAGCTCCAAGCCAGACAACGGCTCCTCCTTCTTGGTGTCAAACACCAAGGTTTGCTCAAACGGAACGGCGTTCCCGTCCTCAAGCTTGCCCAGGCGCTGCATCGACAACGCCTCCCAAGTGCTGTACAACTCCTTCGCAAGACAGCGGCCGTGGGTACGCTCGGTAAGCAAGATGGTTGTCCGCTCGTCGCTGCACAAAGCGGCAAGACATGCCTGGGCGTCGGTGCCGCGGCTGAAGCAGCTATCTGCGGCAAACACGACCTTGGGCCCGGAGAATTTGGGAAGCTCATGGGCCTCGATCAACTGCACACGCGACGCATCGAACGGTACCTGGTTCTTCAGCTCCCAGTCCTTGATGACTGCAGGCGCCATCCATTCCAACATGGACCCTGCGTAGTTGAGCACGCGTGAGCCTGTGTGTGCGAGCATGAGCACGGGGATGGGTGCGCTCTGGAGGTGCTCGTCGACCAAGTGGATGAGCTCGAGCATTCGGCCACCGAGTGAGGACGGGAGCAACACGGATCCACCGTTGGCAAGCGTGGCGTCCACAAGCTGGAGAAACTTCTCCGTGCGCTTCTTGTGCGGCAAGGCCGACCCGATATTAGAGTTGGTGATAACGGCCGTCGGTCTGAGGAGCTGCGGCAATGGCTGTCCGTTAGCCTGCAAGAAGGCGGACCCGTTGAGAAACGAGTCCTTGGAGTGATTCCAGGCGGGCGCGTAAACAATCTTTTCGTTGTCTTTGGAGAGCAACCAGACGGTCCCGCCTAGTGTGTGCCCCGCGTTGTACGGCGTGATGCGGAGGTTGTCGAAGTTTCCCGTGAGCTGCGTCGTCTGCGCGTGCTTCAACGGGAGGATCTTGTCAAACATGTCTTCGATGTCCTCCACCTCGAACTGCGCCGTGTCTAGCGGCCCGATGAGCCCCGCCGAGCGGTACTGGTCGATGGTGTTGACCCTCCCGAGATTCGTTACCGGCAACGTCGAATACGTGGGGATTGTTTTGAGCACGGGATAGTGGTGTAAGAGGCTCGCATAGCCGCCGAGATACTCCGCCGTCGGGTGCGACAAGAGAATGAGGTGGGTCTCTGCTACCGCGGGCGCGAGATACGCGAGGTCTGCAATCGAGTCCCAGCCGGGGTCCGCAAGGATGTGGACCAGCCCAAACGATAGCCGCGAGCAGCGTGTAGAGGAATCCAGAGGCGACACCAAGGATTCAAACGTGAACATTGCGGGGGAGAGAGGCAAGAGGGGTGATGTGTTTTGCTGGGTAAGTAATATAAGCAAAGTGCGTTTTGCCTCGTGTAATTTTCGCGTCACGTGCGTTAGCTGGAAAAATTCAAATATGGAGGAGTGTACTTCCCGGCTTGATTTATTTTTCTCGATAATGTATTGGGGTTAGGGTGATAAACCTACTCAAATTTTCACCGGAGGGGATTAGCGGTTTAGTGATGGGTGAGCGTCTGGTGGATTGGCGTTAGGTCTAGGAAAGCCTACGAATTATAGCTTGGTCCAGTATCTATTGTGAAATTTTTCAATAGCCTTTTGGGAAACCGGATACGTGCACTTAGATTAAGTTAAAAAGGTGGAGTATTTTAAATGACACGTAATAAAGTGTCGTAGGTACGCAACATAGATATATATATATATATATATATATATACATGCTTTGATCCATTTATGGGGATTATAGACAGTGTTATGGAAGATATGAATCAGAGCTTTGCCGTTGCGTTGGAAGGAAAATAAACCCAAGCTGGAGGCAATATAATTAGCACTGAAATGTAGTGGTTAGATCATTTTTGGGATAATATTTATTAGTAGCTAAGCACGGATAAAAGTGAGAGAACAACAAGGATTAACAGTTTGAATCATCAAACTTTAGAGGCCAGCTTTCTCTGCAATCATGGGACAGTAGGGTTAGGCTAAAGAGAGAGATGTTAGCCACGTATACTAGTGGAAACCTTGTAATCCCTATCTGATGGTAGGTACCGACTCAATCCAGAACGTCACCAAACAAATCTCCGATACAATTTCCGAAAGACGGCTTTCCACTTGTAATTGTCACCACCCATACGGAAGAAAGTCCATCAATGAACCCTCCTTGCAAAACCAAACTTCTAACTATATGGCCGAAACAGGATTAGCATCCACCATGTTGAGCTCATCAACAATCGACAAAGCACGCAGAGACGCTCAAGTAGTAGCACAAGTCCTGGGCCTGTAACACCCTCGCATCTAGATTGCCAGCCTCCTTTATCCCATGGCCGCTAGCGACACCAGCAAATCCCAACGGGCCCTTATCGCAGTCAGCACAGGTCAAGAAGCGATCGAGCTTAATCTTCTCGCCAGCCACGAGCACCGGCGTCGCAGGGGACGTAAACACGCCATCGGTCGATCTGGACACTCCAATGTTGTCGAATGCCCATATATCATTGATCTGGTAGAACTGGAGGGTATCAGTCGCAGACTCTAGGGTTGGGATCTCGGTGCCATGGCACACGAGCATATCAGGGGAGCTTCTAATGCCCACGGTACTCAGTTTGGGAGGGGAGACCATAATCCGTGAATGGCACTCAGGAAACGGACATCTGAGGATGGGTTGCTTGATAGACATGTGTGGGGTAAATATATGTAGTAGGCGGAAAGAAGACCGGAAGAAATGTGTGCCGATAAAAATATCAACCACTGCATGTGCCGGAGTGCATATGAGAAACTTTTTCACATGCATTGCATAGTCTTTTGAAACGAGTATCGCTCAGTGAATGGATGCACGAAGGCTTGTTCAGAACGCGTAAATTAGATA